GAGGGGTCACGTCTAATGAGGGTGTCTGACACAGCCAAAAGGGGGTTCTGATGTAGGGTGTGTCATGAAAGCGAGAGTGAGGGACAGCGAGGGCGTCGGCACCGCGGGGTCGATTTCTCACCGGGGCTCTTGTAAAACGTGCGCCGACTGAGGACGACAAAAAGGCGACTAGGTGGGACAAGGTCGACCGGATCGTCGCGGGCGTCCTGGAGGTTGCCAGTAGGTGTAACAGCTACACACCAGTCGGAGAAACACCTCCTGACGGCCGTGTCCCGGCCTCCGAACAGCCCCGTAACTCACTGTCCGAGTCACCGCCGCGGCCGGAGACATCGGCACACGCCCAGCTGTGGTGACACAAGCGGAGTGTTTGGTCGGGCATTGGTCACACCCCACCGACGGCCTTCTGCAGTCTCCCGCACCAGCTGGTCAGTCAGTGTTCCCAGCGACATATGACGGGCTGGCGGTTGCTAAATTTTCTCAATGGACCGACCAGGTGGCGAGTGGGTTACCAAATCGTCTCGGGATGCGAATTCTACCGGAACGATCTGCGCTCTCCACCCCAATGACCATTGCTGACAAAGGTAGGACAGTCTATGCTCTGAAATTCTCTTTCCTAAACTCTCCGTCATCCTACGAAATATCAGACGTTATAGCTGCGCTCCCTCCACCGTATGTCCTACAGCCCCCGTTCCCTCGCGCTTTATTAAAGCCATGTCAATCCCGAGGTCAGTCCTCGCCAGCAGGGGTGAACGGCCGACCATTCAGCCGATATCAGCCGCGCTATTAAATCCAAGCCGATACGATCAGATTCGATCAGATTCGATCCAGATTGAGCCAGACTGCACGGTGGGAGGGCGACACTGACGGAGACTAAGAGAGGATGTAATGAGCCATAGAAACGCGATCAAAGGCGAGGCGTGGCTTTCCTTACTCCCCGTATAAAACGGTGACATATGGATGACACGAATTATGTTATTAAAAGCACAGGTTGCACCATCCGCCCACTTTGAAGCCGAGTGCGCAGTCATACGACGTTGAGTCAGTCGCCTGCTGAGAGTGACACGCTGCAAACTTCAATACTATGAAACAACGAGCGAGCTTCGGCTGCATTCAGCATCTCTTGCGTCAGGCAAAACAGTTCTGATGGAAGAGTCGTTGCAGTGATGGTCATGTATCTATCCAACGCAAGGGCATGATAGCCTGAAACAGCTGTGCGATGTTCAAATCCGCCAGGCTGTTTTCCGTTGTTCATAGTATATCCTTGAGAGCAAGGATTCGACTAAAACCACCGGCTGCCCTTTACGAATCGAACAATGAAATGCTTTTTCACGCTTGAAAAGTCACTAACATGCACAACGTATTTCTACCACCAATCCCATTCCGCGATTGTTTTAGACACACAACAGCCAGGGTCCGCAGCGGCATTTCAGGCACGCCAGAACCCCATCAGCGGGCCATGACACGCCTGCCATTACACGGGTGGTGGGGCAGACCGCGCCAGTTTCTCGCCTCGTTTACTCCCTGAAGGCCGCAGCTCGACGGTCAGGACCTCACCGCCAGCCCAGTGCCATATAACTCGTCCCCGCGTCAAGGTAGCGGTAGCTAACGAGGCAGAAGAACACGGCTCTACCATGTCTGTTTATACTACTTCCTAACGTCTCTCATGCATCCGGAGACATGGGCGTGATGCCGACGGGCGACTGGTGAAGCGGAAATAAAGAGGCCCGGCTGCATTTATTATCACCATGGATGTAACCAAACCGCGTCACTATCGCCGGGGGTTTCATGGAGCCTCGTATGACTTAGCACAGACGCGCAAATGCCCTTGAAGACACTCGCTGCAGCGTCATGTTACTGGCGCTGTCTCCAAGCCTGACGAAGGCACAAAGTCAGCAAAAAGCTTAGCCACCGTCACACCCATACGCTCGGATCCGTACAGCGGGACCCGGAGCCCAATCCTTCGCAGAACCGAACTGACACACCTCTGTGTGCATAATGCACGTTTACACAGTGTACCTAACCGACAAGGCGGCGGGCCCGGAATCAGCACGCAGACGGCGTGCGCGTCGTGTATCAGCATAGACGGCGTCGTCAGTAGAAACGGCGGCGAGCGGCGGTGACGGAACGCCAGGCGGGCGAGCAGGCGAGCGACAGTGCTATCAGTCATGATTCAGCCGTTGGCGGTTCCTTTGGTCGGGCCGAGGCCGGACTCGCGCATTTCCGCAGGAAGTCTGTCCTGAATATGCCACCGACGGCCATTAACGTGGTGAAGTGGAAAGCAGAAGAGACCGCTAGCGATGGATAGAACGGAGGCAGACGACTCTCAAGTCTTAGACAGTACAGCACCGAGTGTACCCAGAGCACCCTGCACCCGTCCTGTGCAGAATCATCCTAAGCGGGCGCGACCTGTTTGACCCGCGCTGACCCGGTCTGGTCTGGTTGGACCGGCTCCGGTCTAGCCCCTCCTCCGTATCAGCCGCGCCGGACGTCAGCCCTCCCCGTCCCGTCCCGCTATGCTCCGTCCCGTCCTGCTCAGCTCCGGCACGCCCGGGCCGTCGAGCAGCACCTGGACATTATACGCTCCGCCCCGGTCCATCGCCGCCGGCGCCGGCCGTCGAATATAGGCCAGGACAGCGCGCGCGTCGGCCGCCGCCCCCAGCCCTCCGCGGCTGTCTGGCGGAGGAGGGAAAGTGAGCCCCGCGCGCGGCGACCGGTCGGTCCGCGATTGAGTTATGTGCGGTCGGCGGTTGGCACTCATATGGGTCAGCCGGCCGAACGCCGGTAATGAGCAGATGAGTTCCGAGTGTCTCTTTGTTCCTTTGTTTCCGTAACTGCCCTCTGATGAGGTCTACTTAGCGCTGATGGGTCTGAAATTGCGGCGGAGAATTAGGCATGAGCCTAGGTCAACGCCAATAGGAGTGCCGGTTGTATTATGAATAGGAAGAAGCGCATATGGATAATAGCCACCCATACACCATGAAAAAATGGCCAAAGGTGAACTAAGCGACCTCCGAATGAGACACATACGAATCGCTTCCAAAAGCTGTTGAAAATTTTGACGTAAGATAGTTGCAGACAACCTCTTTAGCATCGCTTTCTCAGAACGCTTGCAAGGAAGCAGCATGAGTTCAATGTCCAGCTAAACTGCTTTCAGTTTAGTCATCCCCTCGCTTCTTGGCAAACAACCAGTTTCAAAGGACCTGATAACAAAACGACAGGGCGGTAGCCTCACTTCCTGACTTTGCTGTAAGCGGGAACAAATACGATATCATTGCAGACACCCGCAAGATTATCCGTTAGCGTCACTTTCTCTAACGACTTATGGCCGAATGATTGTTGTGTCGTCACCTCTGAAATCCCTGCCATCGCGCGGATAGCCATAACACCCGGAAGAACACCTAGATCGCTGCAGAACCAGGAAGACAATGAAAGTGAGTGTCACTTTTAGGGCATTTGTCTTTGCAACAACCGCGACTATCTAAGATTAGTTCTAGTGAAGATTTCAGCAAACAGATGAAAGTGCTTATTCAACTTCTGACCTTCCAGCATGGGTTAATAGGTACATCACATTGCATTACCTATACATTTATTTAAGAATTGCAGGCGCTACACAAAAAGTGTTCAGTTAGCACGCTTTCCTATTATTTGTGTGAAAAAGTGCAATTATGTCATGGCGGCGCTGCCTCAAGACAACTGACCAATGAGTGGATAAAAGTGCACCAAAACACTATAGCGGTCCCAGATGGCATAGGGACATGGCTCCTTGCAGTCAGACCCAATTTACGCTTTACACCTGCCACAGTGCATGGGAAAGATTGAATAGCCTACCAGTCATTATGATTGGTCGCCACATCCTCTTCTTTCAGTCCCATGGCAGCGGTGCTAAAATCCCTGCTCGGTCCCTAGCATTTGTCATCGCACCTGCCTGCATCTAGCAACTTCACGTAACCACTCGGTTTTGTACCGAGTGGCTCGTAGTTCGTACGACCCAGTTTTTATGGCACGGTGTCCGACCCTGTTGTGCCCATTACAGTGTCGACACATCGCGGCGACACGCAAACAATGTGTGAGCTGAGAGCAGTGTGACGCGAGCTGTGAGCTAACGTCCCGACATTGTATGATGCCACCTGTGTTGCCTATCTGATCCATCATCGCGGCGCGACGAGCAGTGTGTGGAGCCAAGTGTCTTGCCCTCCCCCCCCCCCCCCCCCAGCGAGATGTGTCAGTAAAAAAAGAATTACAACGAAAAAAAATATTGACATGAATGTTGAGTTATAATAAAATACGACTTAGCACATAATTCACAATTTAATTAAAAAGCCATCCTATCTTATTCAAAACAAATAACAGTACAAGCGGAGCAATTCGAAGGCGCATACGTGAAAAACAGTTGCAGATTTTCAATCAGCAAATGTTGGCTTAGTTCGGGGCTCGGAATGAATGAACTCATCAGAGCAAAAGCATGCCGACTGTCATGTCCAATGCAGAATAAGACAAACTGAGCGATAAGCATGATGCCTTCAATAAGGAGCTAGGACATTTTTATTTTGGCCATGGTCTCAAAGGCCCCATGGTTTCGTAGCATTGGCGATTCCGATAACTATCCGATACTTCAAAATTGCATTAATTGGCCATATCAAACGCACAGTTTGGTCATTGTTCACAAAATGTCATGCAACAGGTTAGACATAGACTAGGCAGTATTGATTCTTCTCGAGGGTGATAAAAAAGCGGTATTTATAAAAAAAGCCATGGTGAAAGACAATACAAGTCAATTCAATCTTTCAAGAGCTAAGCACTGAGCACACAAGCATAAATATCGGGTATCTGTACAAATGCCGAAACAGCATGCATAAAGCGATAGAATGGGAAAAGGCAAGCTACTCACAGGAAAGCAAATACTGATACCAGAAGAAGTGGCGAGCTCCCTTTTCACAGCTCGATAAAAGTTTAACAGATCAATGCCCCTAGAGGACACACCAGGGGCCACGTCCGCTCACCTGAACCTCCTGCTCCGCTCCGGCCGGCCTCGTGGCCACTCGGTCCCGTATTGACACTGCGGCTAACACGATCCACACGAGCGAGATCGGGTCACGCTCTCTCGCGTCGACGTCGCACGCGCACACCAAGCGCCAGCCACCGCCGCGAGCCGTCGACTGACGCCGACAGGGCCGGGCCGGCGGCGCGTCCCACCGCCGAGCCGCCGCCGCGGGACGGGAGCGGACGGTTTCTCTTTCGTTGGGAGGACGCCGGGCGGCTGGCTCGAGGCGAGGACGGACGTGCTGCACGCCGCCGGCTCGGAGATGCCGTTTGCGATGACGGATGAGATGCTGGAGTGATAGCCGGTGACGGACTCCCGTAGAGGGTGGGAGAGACTATGAACTTCGACATCCGACATGCTTTGTGGCGGTGTTTTCGATGGAGAGACGTCCGTTTCAAAGAAAGCTGCCGTGCCGCCACAGTCACACCTGTTTACAGCATTTCTCGGTCGTAATTAACAATAAGTGATGCGTTTGGAAGACACACGAAGGAGAAAATGTGGTGGAAGCGAGGAGAGTAGAAATAATTTACTTGACGAGAGAAGACGCTTTTATCTAAATTCTTCCTGATTAATTGGTCACAAGATATCGTTATCAGACAAGGACGTAGTTTCTCTGAAGAAAGGACTTTCTGGTGGGAGACACTGGGCGCCCAAGTTTTCACTTCGTCCTTGGAATACCATACTGAGGACGCGCCGCATATAGAGCATATCAAACGCGCTTTCATTCAAGAAGATACATAATTAGCATAATTGGGTAGAACTTATATAATACAACACTACCGGTAAGAGATAAACATGCTTTTGCGATGTGAGGATGCAGCTGAAGCTTACAATCTGTATATCGCGATAAATACATCAATCATCAGTAATCCTAAGGTCAAAGTTCGACATACTACGGACTTCAACACCGGCTGTTTATCCAGGAAAAGCACGTACGCGGTACGATAGCCCTGACAGAAGGCGACCCCATCACACCATAATGCACAGCCATCACGAGCAACAGCAGCTGTAACGGTATGCAGTTCCACCCGTACCGCCTCCCCACGCCACGTGTGTTCTCCTTGGACGATAAACGGTCAGCGCTGACATCTTTGTCACCCGTTCTCTCCTATAGAAGTTCGGTGACACCTCGGCTAAAGGCGCTGCTTTGCAGACGCTAATTTCAACGTATATAACGGGGACAAAAGAGCAACGGCAGCGATACATAAACGGTATGTCTCAGACACGTCTCTTCACTCTTTACTTATCACCCTGTACATGCATGCACGGCTATAACGAGCACATTATGTGCGTTAGTAGACTGTTAAAATATGAGCCGACACGCTAATTCACCGGATGATTGATGAGGCCATGAATGGAGCGAGAGGAACAAAATTAACTTAGCTCAAAGCGGGAAATGCGCACCAGGCCATCATCCTGTAGTGGTTTCAAGAGCATTCGTATGAACTAAGCATTGCAGAGTAAGCGAGCTTACATAGGTACTGCAAAGTTCGACGAAAGCCTTTCAGTAAAAATCAGACACGCTTCAGCATCACTTGCATCATTTTAATTTGGACAATGAATCCGCAAACCGGTAAGCTTCAAGGAAAATTCATCGGCACACAAAATCCATATTTCAAAAATGAATGCCGCTCCTCGACGTGCGATGGAAAGAACTAAACATTAATTTTCCGGACCACAGTCTGCAGTATGCACCTCCACCTACTTGGTATGATCAGTTTCTCCAGCTGTATTTCCAGTTACACACCTTCCCCCATCTCCGACCATCCCCTGTCGATCCGTGACATCCCCTCGTCTCGGCTGTACCCACTGCCGTGAATCTTACGAAGGACGTGGGAGCGGGTGTTGGGTGAAACCACGATCACCGCTGCTGGGTGGTCGCGCCGTGGCGCCCACCATGCAGGTGAAATTACCCCGTCCGTGGCGGCCGCTGTGATATAGAGAAACCCAGCCACGCACGCCCACCGCCCGACCGGCGATCGTAGAAACAAATTGACACGAGCCGCGACCGGCGGCACTGACTTCCCGAGACGGTCACACGGGCGCCTAATTGTATCGTGCTTAATAAATCGGGAGAAAATGTTACGCAAGGATAGCCGGCGTGGTGGTTATGATGAATGAATGGACGATGTGGGTGGAATGATAGCAGGGAGAGAGAGCAGTAAATGAAAACACTAAGCAGCATATCGATATAGACATTAAACGTAGCGTCCACACGATGTTTATCAGTGTCACACGGATGACAGTAAATAAGCCATCTTCCGTGCTCCCACTTTCTTTTCCCACCTCCGTCTGTCTCTCCTTCTCGTCCATCCCTATTACTTTCTCACGCCTCTCACGCTCGTGCCGTTAAATCGCCTACCGAAGGTTGCAACATCGCCAATTAACGGCCAGTCGAGCACAGCCGCCTTTTTCTCTCTGAGCAAGGAGATGAGATCACTGAGAGCAGACAGACCTGATGAGGCAGAGAGACCCGACAGACACGTCATTGACAGACCTCGGATAAGGCATTCCAGAGATGGCCTGCAAAATCCAGCAGTCAATTCGAGCAAAGGAAGGAATAAAGACGATAATTATCGCATAAAATCAATCGGAATATTCAGTCCCCTTTCATCCACGGTACCTTCCTCTGCAGTAGCGGCGGAACACCTTCAATTAAGGGGAGCACTGCCGACTTTTGGTCCCATTCTTTCCATGCAACGCCCATAGGGCTAATGTTAAAATGCCAAAATCAAAGGGGGCACGGTGCCCCGGTGCCCTCCTCGTTCCGCCGCCTATGTTCCTCTGACCAGTCAGTAGTTACTCAGGGAGAGACGAGCCAAGTGGATGGGAACTGGACCACCGACCACGCCGTCCACCAGCTGTCCATTGTCCATGGCTCTGGCGGCAGTCAGGTGGTGACAGGTGCCACCACACAGAAGAGGCGCTGCCAGCAGGTGCCTTACGCTGGGGACCATCGTCTCTGGTATCTGACTGTCGACTGGCCTATATGTATTGACCGATATTTAATAATGCTGGGGCAGAAACAGGCCCCTGAACAGCAATGGGCCCTACGAGGACACTGACTGCGGTGTTTGATTGTCAAGCTACAGACTAAACCAAAGTATCCGCTGAGTTAAGTGTCGCAACGAGGAATACCTTTTTCAACTGAGAAACCCGTCACCACCAGTCCTTACTTCGTGAAACATTCAGGCACACCACCACCGGCAGCAGGCTCTATCAGACACATCAGCACATATTGATCACGCTATCACGCTGCCCAAGGCTGGCCCACGTTTTGGAGGCCGGTATAATCACCGCCGCTGGCCCCAATACGGACACAGCTGTGACAGTTGGTGCTCCCTCGTGTGCATCTGTTTGGGAATGAGCTCCGACTGACGTCGCTAATGGAAAATGGACGCACTGGGCTGTCCATCAGCCGTTGGAAATGAGGAGTAAAAAACAAGAGAGTAAAAATTAACTGGAGAATGATGACAGAGAGCCGATGGTTCACCTGTGCTATGACTTGGTTTAGTGAGACCATTATTAAATGTAAGCGGATGGGAAAATATCAACCCACCAACTACCATCAACTATCAGGGACATCTCACTATCGGGGACATGAGATGACTCAAAGAACATAAATAAAGCCAGGTTTCTCAAATGCGAGTTCAGTCCGATCGACAGCACTCCAACATTCCCGAGATTGACATTTCGACATGGATCGGCTCACATTGTCGACAATCGTGGCGTGAATGTCAGTGGAAGTGGCGCACATTCTCCCCGAGCTAAACACCATCGACCACCTGTCACTATAAACTTCCCAGAGCTCAATACAAACGTCAACGACCCCCGGCAATGTTAAATCAAATGTCGCTTCCGGCTTGGGACGTCCGACGACAGTAGCGCAGTTTACCGGCCTAGTCATCCGTCGTGAAGTCACAACCGGACTGACATCACAGTGATGTCTGAGCCTGTGTATCGTGACCTAAGCATGAAGGAAATCCCGCATCTGTGTAGAAGTCGGCCGACATGTTGACCTACCGCAGTGGAGCCAATCGTGGCGCACGGCGCGCGTCACATGCCGTACTGCGCCGAATTGACCTCACTTTTCCGATAGCTCGCATTTCGAATAGTTCACATTGCCTGACTCGCTCACGGCGGTGGCTGAGCTCGGTCTTTGAACGGCCAGAGTTGCTCAATACGCCGGTAATGTTCCAGTTAATCCGGTGAGTCTCGCACTGTTCGAACACCAGTCAGGCTGCGTTGTGAGGTAGATTGGCGGCGAGTGTGCTAATAAGAAAGTCACTGAGGCGTGGCGATTGTACAAAGTGACTCAATACTAGAAATGGGCTGAAGGGAAATACCTACCACTGGTTTGTGCGCACCTCGCAATGTTTTTACTCGACAGGTAATTAGAAATTGGCACAATGTGTGATCACGCAGTTTCACAAGTTCGCAACAGTTGCTGTTGCGTCAAGGCCAAACTAAGAAACATATGAACAACATGAGATCCACCAGTGCTGAATCGTGATACTGCTGTAGTCTTCTCATGCCAGCACATCTTGCACACAGCTGTCGCAAGGCACATCAACTCATACCGCCCTGAACACAGCGTGCTCGACAGTGATGAATACTCCAGTCCGCACCAGTCGTTGTCCCAGTTCCCCGTCGTCGCCGGCACTGTTTTCGACTCGATCGGGCGCTGACGGCGTCCTGTCGCCGGCCGACCCGGCGACCCGGCGCCGCTGGTTTCCCCGCCCGCGGGCGCCGGTGGCGGTGCCGGGTCACGCCCGGGGCGCCCGCCGCGACCCCGGCCACCGCCGGCGCCCCGCCGTCCGCCGCCCGGGGCCGGACGTCCTCCCGGCAGAAAGTGTTGCGGATGGGGCTGTCTCCGGCCCGGTTATACATAACTCGTGACACGACAGGTCAGCCACGCTTCCGGCGAGGCGTCGACGACCCGCGGCGGACCACGGCGGACCACGGCGGACCGGCAAAAAAAAACGAGACCAGTGGTCCGTGGCGGCGTGAGAGGCCTAAACCCACCGAGTGACTCAGCGGGCGCACGCAGTCCTCGGAATGATGGGGCGGAGTAATTGAATGTGGGAGCCGCAGGCAGTGGGCTTGCGCAAGTCCAACGGTGTCCGGAATAGTGTGGTGGATGCGAATGTGGAGCAATTCGAGTGATCCATGATCCGCTGTTGTCGCTGACGTTATGGCTATCCAAAGAATTCGCATCCGTTGGCAATATGTGGGAACGGTCTCTCTAAGACGTCCTTGGAATTGCGAAACTGAAAGCGTCACTGTATGCTGTATAGTGTATAGTGTATAACCGATCCGTAGGCAAACAACACTCCACAGTCGAAATAAACCAACGTAGGAAACTTCCGACTCGCAAAGGCTCCCAAAGTGTCGTGTTCCAATTTGCCAATGGCAGGACCTTCACCTATCGAGCGATTGTTGTTAAATTTGGATGATTCGTCTCGTGTGTGTATAAGATGTGCTATTTTTTTACAGCAGCCTAGGCGTGGTTTATGATAGGGCAGGAAATGCTGTGTATGTTGCATGCTTTGTACATAACTGAGACTGTAATAGCCCTGAGTACATCGGGGATTGTCTCATTAAATACATTACATTACATTTATATCGAGAGGCTCAGCATGGCTCAATTAGGAACAAAATGCAAAACAACAAAGGGAAGTGGCACTACCCCTTACCCCACTTGGCACTTCTCCTGTAATCACTGTCCCAAATGACAAAATGACCAGTACCGTCCGGTCCGGCTTAATGTGAAGAAGCTGTCATAGTGCACTGTGCCCAAGCCCGCCACCGTGTCGTCCTCGTACGGCCAAGGTCGGAGAACAATACCAGAATGTTATCACACATATCTGACGGACATGGCGGCTGCGTCAATGCGTAATGCATTTGGTGCTATCGCATACACACATGGCGATATATCATGCTTGGACATCAGCCTTAAAAGAAAAAAATCATTAGATGATACTTAATTGTTGATAGAAAGACCGATGTTATGCACATAATTTCTTCTTGGTTGAGGCGCACAAAGAGTCTATGAGCTGGACTATAACAAAATTGGGCGCTGCAGAATCCTACTTGAATGTATTTTTGGGGAAAGATATCAAGCCTATGAAGCTACAGTTTATCGCTGATAATAAATAATAGCTTTGTTTTCCTTCGAGTCCGGCTTAATTAATGACTTCACTTAGATACACCCGTCAGGGGGAAGTAATTTAAGTCTGACGCAACTCCCGGATTCAACATTGTATCCCATTTCAAACTTTCATATTTATCTGTCTAATAGCAGCATATGTCTGACTCTCATCTCAGCTCAGTGTCGAGATCAACTCAGCCGCCGTCTACCCCTACTGTCCCACACCAGACCATTGACAACGGGCCACCCAGAACGAGTTCTCAGTAGGTGCACCGCCGGCCGCGTGCCGTCCTTTCGCAACCCACAGCCCGTCTCATTATCAGCTGACGCGGCTCCGTCAGATCTGCCACCAGTTTCTCAACGGCGGCTCACAGCCGGCCATGAACCCATCATTACCAGCCGTTTAACCTCGCCGCTATTTACTGGCAAACTGAGCCAGAACTAGCGAGATGGTGTGAAAAACGGCAGCTCTGCTTCTGTCGAGATTTAATACGATACTGCTTCTGCCAAGATGGAATAAGATACGAGTAAAACCCGTGATTAATTTCAAATTAAACGGGCTGAAGGCCGATTCTATGCGTATCTATCGATAGCTCGATGTCGAACGTGGCCGTGTCAGGAGAGAGAGGGAGAGAGAAGGAGGAGAGAGGAGGGAGGGTGTGGTCGAGCACGCGCCGGTCCCATTGAGCCAGCCATGTCGGCACCCCTCTGAGAGAGTTGCGACAGCCGTGTGACCAGACTACCAGTGCCCTGGCTAGCACCGATACCAGATGATATAACCCGTTACACGGGGTAGCTACGTACCATGGTCGTGAACCAGCCATGCCGGCTGATGAAGTGTCATCAAGTAGCGTGCTGAGTTTTACGTCTATATTTTCCTTATGATGCAGGTTCGCCATCATTCGTATTCCCTTATAACCATTATGCACTTTCATGCTTCATGTTGGCTTTGCGGTTGCTATTTTGCATTACTTAATTCTCCATCTCATTAGTGATTAGATTGTAATTGTGTCACCTTTTTAATCTCGACTTAAAACGAGCTCAATTTTTTTTATTTATATCGCCACCTAGTTAGTTTTTTTATCAACAACGATCTAACCTACTTCAGTATCAGTTGGTTTATCCCATATGTTGCTATAAAAAATATAGGTAATTCTACTTTTTCATGCTGTCTCGGTCACGGTCGGCAAAGATAACCAATACCAATGCATCAATGGATGCAATTAAAATCAATACACAGCGGAGTGTTGCAAATCCGAACAGGTATTTACGTAAAGGCAGAAGGCTGGTCTGGCATTCCAAATTCCAATGCATGTGGATGCCAACAACAGAGACTATAATGTGGTGTAGTGGGAGTAAGGATACGTGTTGCATGAGAGATAATGGCTGTGATATTTATCAACCAAGTCGCCTTCTCAAAAGGTTACACGCTGTTGGTCAGTATGGCGAAAAGCTCAAGAACTTTCATAGCCATCACTTTCGTCACTGCGTGTTGCTTTCATCAGATAATAAGACAAGAGGCATATTCTCATAAATGACAATCATGGTAGCCATTATTTACCACAAAATTTCCCAGTGAAATCACCAGCTGCTTATTTCGCATTTTCCAAACCATCAATAATATTGCATTTACACTGCATTGTTTCCTGTAATCCCATTAGCATTTAGCTCGTGCATACAATGCACCCGTAACTGATTTCCCGATCGGTCTGGTTTGGAACCGGCCGCTCTACATATATGTAGTGTTACGTAACAAGTTTAATCTTTACCAGCTGCATTTCTTCTCCTTTCCACTCGGCTCCAACCACCCACTCCATCTCCCAGCCACCTGTTCCGTGGCCTTTAATCTGCCTCTCCGATCGAGTTCCTTCGTGTCTCCCTCTTCAGTCGACCACTTTCTCCACGTTCGTCACCGTCTTCTGCGGCACCTCCAGTCGGCGGATCCTGCTGCCGAGCGACACGGTCGGATCGGTGATGAAGCGCCACACCACTCCCGGCCAGGAGTCGTAGCTGGGCAGCTGAGCGTACACCTCGGGTACCATGTCACGCAGCTCGGCCAGACGCTTGTTGGGCACGTTCGGGAAGTCATGGTGCTCGTTATGGTATCCCTCGTTCCACATGAGCTGATTCATCCAGCCGTAGTAGCTGTACGTCTCGTGGCCCTTCGTCAGCTGCATGTGGTCGGAGATGAAGTGACCGGCCAGTGGGTGGAGGCCCATGGTCAATAAGAAGCCGCCGATGAGGTAGACGAACGGCTTCAGGCCCCAGTGGGAGAGGAGGACGTAGTCGAACGCCAGCTGGACGGCGATGTTGAACAGTTCCAGCCGGGTCGGCGGCAGCGGGTTCACGAACAACGGCCGCGTGTAGTAAAAGAACGGCTGCAGGATCACGAAGATCAGCTTCCCGATCGCAGACGTGCCGAACAGGCGCGCCTCGAACTCCGTCGGCACGTCTGCGTCCAGCTTGGCGTGGCCCTGGTACTTGTGGTGCATCAGATGATAGCGCTTGAATGCCACGGCGCACGGAAAGCCCATCGGCAGGTTGGCCAGAATCCCCAGCAGCTGGTTCGGCAGAGGGTGCTTGTAGCCGAACGCCTGGTTGTGGCTGCACTCATGGATCACAGACCAGAGACCGTGCTGGAGAAAACCACCGAAGAAGTAAGCAACAGCAATCAGCATCGGCCAGGACATCAGCCTCGTGTAGTAGGCCACGGAGAGCTGGACTCCAACCAGACACAGCGCCTGCCACTTGAGCTCGGGGTTGTGTCCGAACAGGCCCCTCACCTCTGGGTGTGCCTCAAGGATCTTCTTCCGCCGCGCGGCGTGAGGCTCGGGCTCCTTGGTATCGTCAAACCACGGCTCAGCGGCCTCACGCGGAGCCATGGCGGCGAGCGGTGGCGCGGCGGAGACAAAAGAGACGCGCGGTTGACAGGAATGGCGCAGCAGTGGCCGGAGCGGTACGCGAACTGACCGAGCCCGAGGGCAGACGCGGAGCTAATGAAGGGTGTGCCGTCTGAGCAGCGATGGGTTATTACCTGAACACTTGGCAGCGATCAGAAAGACCCAGCTGTGTGTGATCACCGAACGAGTGAAGTGCGCAGCGTCGCCAGGCGCGGACGGTTAAAGGACGCTCAGTCGGTCCCAACGTCCGCGTCAGAGTTACGTAATTCACATATTTTGTATAGCATTACAAGGGATAGAGGTTCGTAGCAACACGGAAGGGCTAACTGCGTCTTAGAGCCTCAGAACGATAGCATAAGCGATTCAAGCTGTCTAACTACAATCTACGACTACGATTTGTGTAACTACTGCAAAGCCAAAGCGTGCGTTGCTAGCCAACAAATAAGTTTCATTGTGCTTGCCTATGACGTTTGGGCTGTCATCTGTATTGCTAAGTAAACACTGCCTCTAGAGCGCAAACATTTCCATACGACGAGGTTCATTCAGGTGAAGTCTGTCAAGATTAATCAGCCGAAGGCTTTTAAGATGTGATGCAATGTGTGTCGTTATGTGTGCTGTGCTGGAAAAAAAACACACAGAGACACAAAAACGCACACACACAACTCACCCTTGCCCTGTAAGGGATAAAACTGATATAGAAACGGGTAATGTATTTCTCGAACATAGATGAATATTAAGTGCTGCTAAAACCACATCAAAACACACAGCTTCTAATTATAAATGACTTAAAATGCTAAAGCACAGTACGTAACACTTATCTGCGCAAGTACATGCTCACAAAAAGGCTTTGAAGTACTTTATCATGATCGCGAAATTAGAAAATTTGTACACTATTCATACTCTAAATATGATGGCATGGAGAATGTGCAAATAAGTTGCGACGAAAACCGAGAGATCTTTTATCAAACCGTGGGTGATAAATACCATGGCTCACCCATAGTCAAGCTAACGAAGCAAGTTACATAAAAACGGACACACCTTACGACGCATTTTGCGCAGATTACTTATGAATAACACAACTACAAGCACTTCATATAACACAACACAACATCGAAGATCCACGGTAGAATATAAGTACAAACGGTAAATGCGTTAAGTTGTTGCTGCCACTGTACGAGAATATGCGCTTGTGATATTCCATATTTGGCACCATAAGTAGCACTCAAACGCGTTACACACTAATGAGGCAAGAGTTCAGGATATGTCACTACAAAAATTTTCTCTAATGATATCGACCACACTGGACAATACAGAAGCAGCTAGTTCGCCAAAAAGCTCGTCATATCGAAGTTCAAAGGCACAGTGACGCCGGAAAGGCAGCACAAAGTGAGAATGAAGGCACCCTTTATCTGCTTTACTTTATAGTTGGCACTTGGGTGGCACTATCCAGGGTTGAACTTCGACGCATGTAAAACTGCGTCCAATAAAGCCAGGAGATTCGACAAGATAAATCTAGGATCATGTTAGAAAGTGTAAAAAGAAATGAGGAGATTCATGGACTGAGATGGCCTGATAATTTTCCTACAATGAACATCTTAAAACACGTCTGAAACAATAAAACACGTCAAACTTCGAAGAAGACAGATCTGTTAAGCATAATCTTTTTCTGGTTTGTTAATTGGTCCTACCCGGGGAATGCACTAGCAAGAGCCATGAAGCCTGACCACTTGACAGTCGAATATCTTTTCACGTCATGGCACTTCAGTAGCAGTGGCTTCAGCTGGCGTTACAGTCACCATTGTCTGAATATCCTTTACACGACCCACATAAAGGATGTTAGTCACAAAATGGTCAGCAGTATAACCCTCTCGACATAAAATACCTACTGTTGACACCTAACGGTGGACACCTTGAGGCGACTAAGAGGCACTAACTCGGAAGAACTATACTGTTCTTGAAGAAGCCACTAGCCGACGAAAGCAGCAGAGAAGTAGCGACACTCTACTGAGATAGCGATCTCTAGCGGCTCTACGCTGGGCTCGGCGTCGTCACCACACCTGTGCCTGCCGTGTGTTGCGGTGCCGCTCAGTACCCGCGCCCGTAGTTCTTCAGCTTGACGAACAGGCAGCAGGAGATGATGACGCCGAAGATCTGGACGACGGAGACGCCGACTCCGACGGCGCCGACCACCACCAGGTGATCCTGGATCACGTAGCCCATATGGTGCACGCAGCCCTGTGGGACGGGGGGAGGTCGGGATCAGTTAATGACGATAAGTTACGCAGTGCAGGGAGAGGAAAGAAATCAAGCACCGGCGTACAGAAGTAGCTACCGAGGTTTAAGCCAAACATAATGATGAATGACTGGATACAGACGATACTTATCTGACACTGACAGAAGGAGTAGAAAAAGGAAAATAACGCAATTAAAACGGAAGGATAACGTCAATGTCATTTTAACTGGCTAGGGCCTTGGTCCCTGTCCGATTCGCCTTGGTTAAAATGTGAGCGAATGTGGCAAGTTTTGCTGTCATCTCCAGTGACATGATCGTCATGGTATCAACACTCAGTAGCTCACATATCACGAGAGCAAGCCTCCTCCTTCCTCCCCTCCCCCCCCCCTCCTCCCCAGCCCCCGACAGTTTCATATGACACACGCGTGTGACCGACCGCCGCCGGTCGCCGCGTCGGCTCGGATTTCATGCCAGCGCAGTGGAATCTCAGATTTCCGCTGTACTGTACAACGCACACGTGAGCGGTCGGTGCGTTCAAACGCCGCTCTTTGACGCACCGCAGAGCCGCCGTAGGGTCGCCGCGGTTCGGAGGCACTTAGTGAAGTCATACGAGGGACCCACTTATAGTGTCACGGGCTTAGGTGAGGTGTCCTGGCCGCTGTGGGGCCGACATTGACCTCACGGCTCATGACCATGGCAACGGAAGTGATGCAAACAGAACGACGGAAATTACGCTACAAGTGGCTTTTGGTTACGTGTGACCAGATTACCTTCACTTTTTTTCCTTAGTGCCCACTGCCATGCTGTAATTCAAAGTCCAAGCATTGCTACGCGATTATTCACGACTTCCGACTATCCCTGCTGCAATAAACACCCCCAGCAGAGCCCCGTCATAGTACTCACCCCAGGGTTGATGTTGGAGGGGTGGTCGCGCCGGCCACAGAGCGGCTTCACGGACTTGCAGCAGCTGTCGGGCACCTTCCTACCCTCGGTGTCAGCCCAATCCGTGTACAGCCAGTTGGTGTAGTAGGTGGCACCGCAGCACCGGAACTGGGGAAAGTGGGGGAGACGTGTCAGTCGGGGACGAGTTGGAAGAACGGGTAAATAGTTCGTTGATGGTAAATAGGGGCCGGTTTTGAAACGAAACTGGTGCCCCGATTAATGTTTTATTGCGGCGACGAGAAATGGTTTAGGGTGTCCGGCGCACTGCATCCACTATCAGCAAGCAAACTATTAATACCGCAGGCGCAGCGTGATCAAGGTCCGCTCTGAGCTTCAAATCAGCGGATCGTAATTACTTTCTTATCATCTTCAAACGTCATGTCACATGTTTAGATATCCTATCCCGGTAGATTCCCGCTTCGCCCACCAACTCCACCGCCCTTTCTCCCGTCGTTTCACTCACGTCCTGTTGCATCTCGTCGATGGCGGCCGTGTACTCGGGCTTCCTGTTGTAGTTGTCGGCGAAGGTGGCGTTCAGGTGATGCGCCAGCTCCATCTGCAGCTGCACCTGGTACACGTAGGCCAGCACGCCCGCCATCGCCTCCAGCAGGAAGATCAGCAGCAGCACGAACGTGTACTGGGCAGAGGCAGAGTGGGCACGGTTAGAGGGTGGAGGGTACGGAGAGCGCGTGCTTGAAACGGCGAGTGCGCGTACTGGGGACTATACACCCACATCTGAGGGACCTGCGGGACGACGACGTGGTGGCGGCCCTGGCGGCCGCTGCCAGGTCCCTCCAGAGCCGCTCGGCTACGCTCGACTGAGCGGAGGAACTACAACAACAACAACAGGAAAAAAGGGTACAAAATTGACTTTAGTGTGTGCGGGAATGTAACAACATCTGAAAGACGAATGTAAATGCTTTGCATTCTTCCGCATTTACCAATGTTGAAAAAGATACCATCCAGCGATGTGGGAAAAATTGAGTGTGAAGTTACTCTCACCCAACTGTCGGCACCAGCCACAGACTTAGCGAGCAACCGACCACCCCAATATCCTCCGGATATCTGACTCCACATCTCTCACCCACACGCCCACCGCCCCTCCGCGGTCCGTACCATCAGCAGGCAGGGCAGACTCTCTCTGAGCGCGCCGAGGCAGCCGACCAGGCCGGTGACCAGCACCAGAACTCCGGAGGTCACCAGCACATAGGCGGCCGTGCTGAATGAGGCCGTGGAGAGCAGCAGCACGTAGGACGGCTCGCTGACCAGCGACCAGATGCCCACGCCGAACACGGCTATACCTGACAGCTGCCCGGAGCGAGAGAGGTGGGGTGTCACAAAAACACGCAGGGGAAATGTGGAGGACAGGGGGAATAATGAATGAATGGGAATGTATGCAATCATTGCAACTTCCAGGGGTTGCAATTCAAATTCAAATTCCATGAGGTTGGGGGATAGCTGATGAATGGTTTAATTGAACTATGTTCTGTTCAAGCTAGCATGCTGGTGAAAAAATGGATGTTGAATGTTTAAATATTGAGCCATAAAACTTATACAATAATGCAACAAAGTTATTTCCAAAAAAGCTGTTTTACCTACAATAAAGGTAAAATGTACAAAACAGTCTTAGCTTACCATGAAAACAAAGTTAAACATGTATAGAACATATTTAAGAAAGTTGATGCTGCAGCAACCTTCATCTTTAGACTCTTCAAAGTCCATTCTGAAACAGAAGAAAAATCATCATGACATGTCACATCAGCTGAGCTGCAGATGGGTAATGTCAAATTTGCAATGACCACAAAAGATAAGGAAAACAGGCAACACTGTAGAGCATACCTATGGTCTGTGGAAGTGACATTTTCCCATTAACAAAATTATAAATTCAGTCGGGGAAACTATGGTAAAATCTGCTATTTTTAGCAGTCTGCTATTTTTAACAGAAATCTGCCAAAAATGGGTACGCATGTGACGTCATCGTACCCAATTATAGCAGATTTGGGTGCAGCCCCATACAAAAGCAGATCTGCACCCTAATTGAAGCAAATGCGCATCAAATGCCTGGCAGGTTCATGATGAGAATAGTGCTGAGAATGTCCTCTGATATTTTTGTTCAGATCCGACTATTTTCAAATTCATTATTTAAAAATAGTACAGTCTACGTTCCACCTGGCCATTGTATACAACAGATATCAGTTCGGGTTCCATAACACTACACAGGGGCCTCCAACTTTTTCATCGTACTGCTTTCAAGTATGACCTCCAAATCTAGCTTCTGAGATCGGGCAGATGTACTATTGGTCTCAAGATAAGGGTCCAGGCGACCTGTAGGTTTGCTGCGGTGAATACCCCCACCTTCGCCACACTCGCTCGGTGCTACGGAGCTCCGATCTCGCGACCGGTCACCTGTACTTGTAGACTGTGCCGCATGACATAGCAGTTGAGCGGGACAGTGGAGCTTAGGCGGAAACTAGCACCGCGCTTGACAGAGAAGGGCGCTGACCATTCCGGCCGGAGGGCCGCTCGGCATTTTAACTCCATGTAATGCCTCGCTGACAATGAAAGACATTACAGGACGACACTACAGGGTTCGGCAAAAGTTATGTCCGCTACCGGTTCCTAATCGTGTCTACACCTGAGGGATGACGACTCAGGCTGCACTCCTTCATTGCACGGTCCTTGGCCGCAGAACATGAGGTGACGAACGGACCTCGGGTCACGGACCACCGAGCTACGGCCAGTTTCACAGAGATTGTCCACCTGAACGGCTGCGTCGCTACATGAAGGTCTGAAATTTCTTTCAAGGGAGCTGAACCAGACAGTCGGCATGCTCCAGGCCGAAATGACACAGCGTGTTATTGCTGATTAGTTGGGATATCTGCTTGTTGTTTTTGTTTGCAAGTCTTGATTATGGACGAACTGCCTGCACAGTCCGGTGTTGGTGGGATAATCATACGGCTGCTGGCAGTGTTGCTGATCGTTCCAGTTTGCAGGCGTGCGCCTACCATTTCAAACGTTACAGAAATCCCTCTGAAAAAGGCGGCCGGGAAAAGGGCCAGCAGTTGGCGACAAAATTGGCTAAGCGGCTCGCGCCGAAGCGCCATCACATCTCCATACAGGACTGTGAGACGCTATTGGAAGAGCTCTCCGAGGCTCATTACCTACCTTCGGCCCAATACTAAGCCAACACATGGTCAATGACATGCATTGACATGCATTTTCAATCAGGACGGCGCGCCAGCTCATCGCTCTGCCAAGGCCTAGCGGTGGTGCGAATTGAACGTGCCGGATTTCTGAAGGAAAGAGATGATAGCCGGCTGCCATCCGGACCTCATCCTGATCGACGAACTTCGGGGCTATCGTCCAGCAGGACCTGGAAAAACAGAAGCCGGCGGCCAGCCTCGGCGCATTGTCGTTACAGCTCAAACGGGCATGATAAAAAATCCAGCCGTATTTACTGCACAACCTAGTTACCAAATACCAGCATGCAAATTTGCGTCCGCGTGTAAATCCCTGTTCGTGGGGAATAAACTGAACGCTAAAGAGAATTGCTGCCCGCCATGTAGCAACTAAGAGAGAACATTTTTTAGAGGATAAAGCTTATGCCGCTGCCGGAACCCATGTAGCTCACGCATCATTCATTGCAGTTTCACCTTAGACTGAAAGACGGTAATTTGTTTAGGACGTGACAATGAATGTTGTTGGAGGTAAGCTATGGTATTTCTGAGCAAGATTAAAACCTTCCAGGCGGTGGGGGGGGCATTTTTTGCCCCCCCCCCCTTTAGTTTTTTCGATATATCTCGAGAACCGCTGCGCCGATCGTCACCAAACTTTCAGTACCCTCCCGGGAGCAGCTAGCGCACATGGTGACCAAAAATTTTTCCAAAGGCTATGATAGGTTGGCCGCTAATGACGTCAGAGTGACGTCATTTTTGCCATTTTCGACCCAAAAAAAGGTTTCGCGGGAAGAGCTGTCAGGCCTACAGCTTTAGAGATACAAAAAAAATGTTTCAGACATAAAAGGTGTGGACTTAAAAGGGCTACAAAACTGCTATTTCGGTTTTTCGAATTTTTTGGATTTTGACCCCCAAAAATCAAAAAATAGATTTTTTGAATATAATAGCCAAAATATCCAAAAAGTTTTTTGAATTTCGAAAAAAACGGAATATATGTGATAGCCCCTACCGCCTTCTATCTACATACCAAATTTGAGATCGATACCTCTTTTTTTGGCCAAGTTATAGCGAAAAAACTGTTCAAAATTGATGACGTCAAATTTTCAAACTCAATTTTTAGCAATTCTAGACCTCGTAGCGCAAAACAAAGACCACCATTAGACTCCCCGTGACGAGCTGCATCGAATCAATACCCATTTTATGCAAAAATATCAACTTTCAAATTTGACCTTTTTTGACCTGACCTTGACCTGACCTCCACCAGAAAGTGACCTAAACCGTACCTGATGGTCTTATAACCAACACCATTGAGTTGGAAATGAAAAACTGGCCATAAAACATGCATCGCATAACCTTAGTAAAGTTGGGCTCATGTGGTGACCCTTGGTGACCTTTGGTGACCTGACCTGTGACCTGACCTGGTATGACCAGTGACCTCTAATAGCAACATATATACTAGACAACTGACGCCTTATCGCTGATTTTCGACAAAATGCGTTTTACTCGGTGTTATAGCGCTTCCCTAGAAGCCCCGTGAACGGTGAAACATTTTATCTTTGACCTGACCTGTGACGTCATCGGTGACCCCGAGGTCAATGAAATTTGGTTTCCTTCGACAAATTTGACAGGGCTATCGAACGCCGTTTGAATTTTCCGGATCCGTCCAGTAGTTTCGGAGATACGGGGGGGGGGGGCAAAAAAGTGCCCCCCCCCCACCGCGCGGAAGGTGGCTGGTAGGCCCACCGCCTGCCGGGTTAACCCGCGCCCTGCTGGGGGAGGGGCCATTTTGGCTCCCCCTGTGGTTTTTCTTAAATAACGAGAAAACGGCCAAATTCTCAGTACCTCCCGAGTATCAATTTGACACATTCACACAAAATTTCAAGTCACAGGTCACCTTGGGTCAGGAGTTATTGAGGTCAAACTGAGGTCATGTTCGAGTTAAAATGAGCAAAAAAAGCATGACATCTTGAAACGCTCACCCAATCTACAGTTATAGTTCGTTTTTTTTTCAAAAGGACGCTGGCTCAAAGTTCCTTATCGAAGCTCTCACGTGAGTTTTGGCAGCTTCAGCGTCTGGCCAAGAATTTCTTACCGAAAAAATATTCGATTTCAAATTGTGCACGGTAAGTGCCTGGAAATTGTGTCTTGAAAAAATAGCATACTATGATGACGTCACTGGTGGCAGCAGGCACTCAATGTCCGTACGATGGGACCAAGTTTCGACGAAATTGTTGGAAACTTCGTTTTTCACTGTTGCCGAGGTTATAATCGAGTAAGCGGTTTCTTCCATGATAGTTTTACGCTACATTGCAAAACAAGTTCGACAGCAGGACGTCACCACTGTTCTCAAATCTGGTTCCAAGACGCACGGATGGAAATTATCGGGAATAATTCACGTGTTAAAATAAGGCGACGTTCGAGTTTCTCAAGTTCAGTTTTTGCTAGTTTTGCTCGCTAAAACGCGTGCTTTTTCGAAAAACATACTTGGAGCCAGAGTCCTTTTGAAAAAAACGAACTATAGCAAGCAATTTTAAAGTTCTTTATGGGGTTGTGTAAAGAAAAGACGTCGCTACAAAACTGCTATCTCGGATTTTCAAAACTTTGGATTTTCATTCTCAAAAATAAAAATGATTTTTTTTTAGAAAAAAACTAAAAAAATCCCCAAAAAAATCGAATTTCGAAAAAACGGAATATATGTGATTGTCCCTGCGCTGTTCGATATACATACCAAATTTTAGATCGATACCTCCTTTTTTTGGCCAAGCGAAAAAAAAACTTCAAAATTGATGACGTCAAATTTTTAACTCATTTTTTACTAATTCTAGACCACGTAGCTCAAAACAAAGACCAACATTGAACTTCCCGCGACGAGCTGCATCGAATCGATACCCATTTTATGTAAAAATATCAGCTTTGAAATTTGACCTAATTTGACCTGACCTTGACCTGACCTTCACCAAAACATAATTCCAACTGACCCCAAAGGCTGCCTGTCCCACATAATCAAATTTGGCATATAAAATGGAACATAAAACATGCATCACATGATAATTTTAAATTGTGACCCTCAGTGACCTGACCTCTGTGACCTGACCTGTGCCCAATCTTACCAAATGCCGTGAATGCGCATTCACGGCATTTGGTAACATTCAGAACTATTCCACATTCACTTATTCATTCGTTCAGGCAACATTCATAATCATTCACGCTATTAAAATCATTGGACAAGATAAGCGGGATGTAAATAAAAATGATATCATTGATATCAGTGGCGTTAACTCCGGCCAGTGCTGCCAAATCCTATTCACGGCATTGGTAAGATTGGGCCCTGGTATCAGTGACCTCAAATAGCAAAATATGTGTTTGACGAACATTTCCCTATCGATGATTTTCAATGAAATGCATTTTACTCGATTTTACAACGCATTTCTTGATATGCCTGTAAACGGTGAAAATTCGACTTTTGACCTGATCTGTGACGTCATCGGTATGACCGAGGTCAATGAAATTGGGTCACAAGGTAGTTCCCCGTTAGGGCTATCCAACG